GGGTTTCACCATGTTGACCAGGATGGTCTCAATCTCTTGACCTCGTGATCCACCCGCCTCGGCCTCCCAAAGTGCTGGGATTACAAGCGTGAGCCACCGCGCCCGGCCAAGCAATTCTTTTGCCTCAGTCTCCTGAGTAGCTGGGATTATAGGCATGCACCACCATGCCTGGCTAATTTTGTGTTTGTAGTAGAGACAGGGTTTCTCCATATTGGTCAGGCTGGTCTCAAACTCCTGACTTCAGGTGATCCGCCTGCCTCGGCCTCCTGAAGTGCTGGGATTATAGGTGTCAGCCACCACTCCAGGCTATTTTCTTTTTTTCTGCTTTTTGTTTGTTTGTTTGAGATAGAGTCTCACTCTGCCACCCAGGCTGGAGTGTAGCAGTGCAATCATGACTCACTTCAGCATCAATCACCCCGGCCAGGGCAATCCTTCCCAATAGCTGGGACTCCACACCTGGCTAATTTTTGTGTTTTTTGTAAAGACAGGGTTTTGCCTTGTTGTCCAGACTGGTCTCAAACTCCTAGGGCTCAAGTGACCACCCCACTCCAGCCTCCCAAAGTGCTGGGATTACAGGCATGAGCCCGGCTAACCCCATCAATGTGTGAGTGTGGTTGTGGTTTTGGGCGCTTTCTTACTTTTTGGTACCTCAAGATGCTCTACACTCACATTGTGTATTTCCTACCCTGTCCTAGAGTCAGCTAGGACTCCAGGGAGCCCTGGTACCTTTTACTGGAAAATTGTTTTAGAGACCAAGATCTGAGTGCTAGGCGTGCTCATTGCTACTGGGGTATCATTTCTCTCAAGTTTCCTTTTCATCTGGCGATTTTATTTCCCCATCTTAGCTGCCTCTGACTGGTTTCTCAGGTTTGGTGATAAGAGGCAGAGTGAAAATTCAGTAGAAGGAAAAACTTTGGATTCATCAATGTTGATCACAGTGGAATAAACTGCCTTGGGGGAGAATGGATACCATCTCTTTAGGGAAGTTCCACCAAAAGCTGAATCACAATTCACACAGTAACGTCAGGCATGGTGTCTCACCCCTTTTAATCCCAGCAGTTAGGGAAGCCAAAGCAGGTGTATCACTCAAGTCCAGGAGTTCGAGATTATCCTGGGTGACATGGCAAAACCCCGTCTCTACAAAACATACAAACGTTAACTGAGCTTGGTGGTACATCTGTAGTCCCAGCTACTCAGGAGGCTGGGGCGGGAGGATCACTTGAGTCTGGGAGGCGGAGGTTGCAGTGAGCTGAGATTGCACCACTGCACTCCAGTGAAGTCCTACACTGGGAGAGGTTTAGACTAGATGACCTCTAAGGATCCTCCCAATTGTAAGATTCTGTGCTTCCAAGTGGTATTTAAAAAGATCAATTTTGGGCCGGGTGCAGTGGCTCAAGCTTGTAATCCCAGCACTTTGGGAGGCCGAGGCGGGTGGATCACCTGAGGTCAGGAGTTTGAGACCAGCCTGGCCAACATGGCAAAAACCCATCTCTAGTAAAAATACAAAAATGAGCTGGGCATGGTAGTGCATGCCCATAATCCCAGCTATTCAGTAGGCTGAGGCAGGAGAATTGCTTGAACCAGGAGGTGGAGGTTGCAGTGAGCCGAGATAGTACCACTGTACTCCAGCCTGGGTGACAGAGTGAGACTTCATCTAAAAAAAAAAAAAAAATCCATTTTGACCGGGCGCAATGGCTCACACTTGTAATCCTAGCACTTTGGGAGGCCAAAGTAGGCGGATCACGAGGTCAGGGGTTTGACACCATCCTGGCCAACATGGTGAAACTCTGTCTCTACTAAAAATAGAAAAATTAGCCAGGTGTGGTAGCGTGTGCCTGTGACTCCCAGCTACTTGGGAGGCAGAGGAAGGTGAATCACTTGAACTCAGGAGGCGGAGGTTGCAGTGAGCCTAGACTGCACCATTGCACTCCAGCCTGGGCGACAGAGCAAGACTTTGTCTCAAAAACAAACAAACAAACAAACAAAAAAAGCCAGGCACGGTGGCACACACCTGTAGTTCCTGCTACTTGGGAGGTTAAGGTGGGAGGATCACCTGAGCCCAGGAGGTTGAGGCTACAGTGAGCCATCATCATGCCACTGTACTCCAGCCTGGGTGACAGAAAGAGACCCTGTCTCAAATAAAATAAAAAGATCAATTTGATTGTAATGTCTCTTTTCCCCTGGTTGACAATGAAGTTGATGACTCATCCCTCTGCTCTCCCAGTGCCTGGCACACTATCTTTTTCATGGTAGTTGAAAAATTAATGTTTTGCTAAATGCATTGCATTATATTGAATTGGGGCCTGGTTGGGTTTGGAAGGGCAAAGAGAGAAAGAATTCAAAGGTTATATGTAGAAATTTAGATAGTGGCTGGGCATAGTGGTTCATGCCTGTTATCCCAGCACTTTGGGAGGCTGAGGCAGGAGGATCACTTGAGCCCAGGGGTTCGAGGCTACAGTGAGCTGTGATCGTACCATTACACTCAAGCATGGACGAGAGAACATATCTAAAAATAATAATAAGGAAATGAAGGCTGGGTGCGGTGGCTCATGCCTGTAATCCCAGTGCTTTGAGAAGCTGAGGTGGGCAGATCGCCTGAGGTTGGGAGTTCAAGACCAGCCTGGCCAGCATGGTGAAACCCTGTCTCTAATAAAAATAAAAAAATTAGCTGGGTGTGGTGGCAGGCGCCTATAATCCCAGCTACTTGGGAAACGGAGGCAGGATAATTGCTTGAACCCAGGAGGCGGAGGTTGCAGTGAGCGGAGATCACACCACTGCACTCCAGCCTGAGAGTGAGACTCCATCTCAAAACAAAACAACAATGAAAGGAATGCAGATACAGGTAAACATCAAATTGTCCTAGGGATGTAGAGTTGTGTCCAAGAGTCTAAGTACTTTCTCCTTTGTGCTAGTTAAACTATATTGTAATTATCTGACCTGTTTGGGGGACCATGTCCCATTCATGTTTATATTTCCAGAAATTCTCTGTCTGACATGTGCCTTCTCAGTCAAAATTCGTGTTTTTTTTTTTTAAAGTCGGGGTTTCACCATGTTGGTCAGGCTGGTCTTGAACTCCCGACCTCAGGTGATCTGCCCACCTTGGCCTCCAAAGTGCTTGGATTACAGGCATGAGCCAGCACGCCCGGCCCTCAGTCAAAATTTGTTAAATGACATTGACTTTTCATGTTCCAGGGAGAGAAGATGGAATGTCTTGTCTGTCCTTGGCTTCCTGTCCATTCGACTACATTTCTTCTCTTTCTTTTTGTCTTTATCAGGTTTTCTTACTGGATCTCTGAATACCCAGGCCCCCTCCACTATGGCCAGCCGGGGTGGGGGCCGAGGTCGTGGCCGGGGTCAGCTGACCTTCAACATGGAGGCTGTGGGCATTGGGAAAGGGGATGCTTTGCCCCCACCCACTCTGCAGCCCTCTCCACTCTTCCCTGTGAGTCTCTTCACTCCCTTCCCTGACTTTCATGTGCCCCTGGCCGACTACATGATTCTGGGTTCCTTCTAGACCATCATAAAGTCACTTTGGGAGGCCGAGGCAGGTGGATCACCTGATATCAGGAGTTCAAGACCAGCCTGGCCAAAACGGCAAAACCCCATCTCTAGTAAAAATACGAAAATGAGCTGGGCATGGCAGTGCATGCCTGTAATCCCATCTGCTCAGGAGGCTGAGGCAGGAGAATCACTTGAACCCGGGAGGTGGAGGTTGCTGTGAGCCGAGACAGTACCTCATCTTGCCCCTCTCTGTCTCTCTACTACCAATGCACAGGGGATGTTTTGCAGGTAAAGAAGTGTCCACCTTCACTTCTCCCTAGCTTTCGAAATGATATGTTACTCCCCTCATTCTCTTTTGGCCTCTGCTCAGCGGGAGTATTAGATTAAATTGGGAGGAGGGGTCCTCCCAGATTTGTACTAGCATTTTCTCCCTGAACTGACTACTGCCCCTGCCTCTGTAGCCCCTGGAGTTTCGCCCAGTACCTCTGCCCTCGGGAGAGGAAGGGGAGTATGTCCTGGCACTGAAGCAGGAGCTACGAGGAGCCATGAGGCAGCTCCCCTACTTCATCCGGCCAGCTGTCCCCAAGAGAGGTCAGTTGGAATGCCAGCATCATATTCTGAGTGTCTTCCACGGGCAGTGCCCTGTGCTCAGCACTACTGGGGGCCAGAGAGGCACAAGAAGGGTACTGTCTAACTGGGGAGATGATAATAGTTACTTCTGTGTCTGAAATGCATTATGATTTTCATGGTTTGTTTTGAGTCTCATAATAGTCTTGGTACAGTGGGTGGTTAAATACTAAAATCCCATTTGACATGTATAAGTAGGGGGATGTATTTTCTAAAAATTTATATATTTTTAATTTTTTTGTAAAATGAGATGGACGTCTCCTTTTGTTGCCCAGGCTGGTTTTGAACTTCTGAGCTCAAGAGATTCTCCCACCTTGGCCTCCCAAAAGTGCTGGGATTACAGGCATGAGTCACCAGCCCAGCAAAATGTTTAATTATCTGGATATTACGGCCACCAACCAACAAGGGAAGACAGATCCTGGTTTCTTTCTTTTTTTTTTTTTTTGAG